TAGTCGGATACAAAACTTTCGTTTAAACGTCAGTCAAATTAGTCGTCGCGCACATCCCTAATATATATATATATATATATATATATAATATAATTATATTTTATCTACTACAGTAATCCATGTTAAATGATTGTGATCACTTTCAAGCAGTTAAAACACTTTACTTCTTCTGTACTTTTAAAATGAACATTAATCACTATATTCATTGAAGAACAACAACAAAGTATTACATGGAAATAAACTTCAGGAAAAGGACAAACCCTTCTGAAGAGATGTGTATCAATGCAGTGTGCAGTAAAACATGCATTTACAAGAGACACTTTTATCATTTATTCCCCACAAAATGTGTTGCTCCACCAATGTTCAATCATATATTTATCTGCAATCACAGACTATGGGAATAGTGAACAAGAGAGTAATGTTCCTTCTGGTAAAACCATGCTGCAACAACAATAATAATAAAAAAATAATAATAAACAGCCTATGGAATTTGTAATGAAAGCAACAAAAAAAAACCATCGTAAACGCTTGTAGACATTACGCAAACAGTTTCTATTCCCTAATGTGTAACACAAGAGTCGCATGCTGTGCGCTAAAGAGCTTGTGTGTGTGCCTGACCGCTCAGCATCTGTGAGAGAGTGTCTCTGTCCAGATTCCTCAGATGCTTCGCCAGCTGCTGCACTTCTGCAGGAGCTCTTCCTCCGAACACACTCACAGCGTCCGCCATCTTCCCCTGAGCTGCTTCCTCATCATCAGCTGACCGCAGCGGCGCTCTTCTTCTGCGCTGTTCTCCCGCGGCGGGGTCAGTCTGCGCCACCTGCTGGAGGGGAGGCTACATCACTTCAGCCCTGCTGGCTCTATATAGTGCTTTTAAATAACATTATTTGGGCATTATGTAGTAGTGCCACTGATCTCTATTATAGATCAGTGAGTAGTACTTTCAATGAAATCTGCTCAATACCCATTGACCTTATTTCTGGTCTGAGTTCAGTTATTTTATTTTAATACTATGCTCTATACAGTCTCTAGGAAGAAGCAGACCATTCTGTTTGCGCTTTACTTCAACTCAAAACGATATATATCTCAAGATCTCAAGACTTGCTTCGACAGATAAGGCGTCTCTACATGAGCTGCACGCTTAAATTCGATTATTAATCTGACTCGTTGAATTCTAATCTCTGGAGAAGTTCATAGATGTCAGCTTTAACAGTCTGTCCTAATGTGTTGTAAATACAGACAGTGTTTGGATTCTGGATATATTCCAGATATTTACTGTAAAAGCACAAGAGTGAAGTTAGCGAAGTGAAATGGGTTAATAAATTAATCCTCAGTAGATTGTGAGGAGAATGAATGTTGCGGTGTAGTATTGTGTGTGTTTCAGATGAACAGAGTTTGCTGGGATTCACAGGGTTTCGGTTATATTGAAGTTTAGCAGAGTTTCCTGTAAAAGCTAAAGACTGTATGCTGCATGCTGCTTTATCAGAGAAGGAACATGTGTAGTGTAAACACGTTTCTAATTTAATTGAATCATGTTTCGGTTAAAATTAACCATTACTAAATGTAACTTGTTTAGCGTGTAAATATATATAAAAGAGACACATATATTAATTGTCATACATGTGTGAGTACAAATAGAATTGTCAAGGAAAGAGTAAACAAGGAAATAAATAACTGATCGTAAATAAACGGGAGAAACGAAGCTTTGCGAAGCTTCGAATCAATTGAACCGATTGCTTCGCAGAATGATTCAGTGATTCGAAGCTTCGAATCTCCACACGCTGGTGACCCCTGCTGGTCGAACTGTGTAAATGCATCAAAGCTAGCTTTTACAAACTCAATGCAAATACTTTCTTGAAAGTATAGTATAATACATTAAAACTATTAAAATAATGAAGTGTCTGTATAATATGTGATTTAAAAAAATATATATATTATTATTAATCGCAGGGCTTGTTTTGTTTGTTTTATGGACAGCTTGTATAAACAGGTCAGTAAGAGACTATTAACTACTACTCATCCTTTTAATCACCGAAATGTCTCGTTAAAAAGGCGACTCGGTGAACTCGAACGCTTCGAAACAGTGGAGTCATGGTTACAGCGCGCGGTAGCTGGCGATCTGCGCACAGGACGCGACGCGCCACAGAACCACAGAAGAAGAAGCAGCGCATCAGCTGGCGGGTGTGACGTCAGCAGCGGAAGCGGATTGAGAGCCGATGTTTGCGCCGCTGATAATAAACCCCTGAAACAGATCCGACAACAGGTATGTGTGAGAAATAGACACTAATATGATCCTTCATCGGTGCTTATCGCGCTCAGAGAGCCGTTAGCAGGCGGGTCAGAGTGTGAGGTTACGGAGGAGGCTAAGCGCTGCTATCATTAGATCCGAGTTGCTGAAATATTGAACAAACAAAAGAAATATTGGTAACGTTACTCATTATATTCCGACTAAATGAACGACATACTTTACTGATTCTTCAACAGAGAATCTAGTGATGAGCTTCAGGCCTGACAGATGATTAGAGTCTGTGTGAGTGAGAGCTAGGCCTGCAGCAGTGTGTTTACATGCGGCCCGCTAACTGATCATCACACTCGCCCTCTCATGAGCAGTGCTAGTGTAGAAGACATGTGTACTATACCTATACATCATAATCAAAAATTAAGTTTTGATATATTTACGGTAGGAAATTTACAAAATATCTTCATGGAACATGATCTTTACTTAATATCCTAATGATTTTTGGCATAAAAGAAAAATGTATAATTGTGACCCATACAATGTATTGTTGGCTATTGCTGCAGATATAGCTGTGCTGCTTCTAGACTGGTATCCCGTTGGGCTGCTGTTTAATACATAATACTATAACCTCCAGCTCAGTGGCTTGTCATCTTTGGCTATATCGTCAGTAATCATCGTTGGGCTGCTTGTCAATCATTTTGTCCCGGATGCAACATCCACATCAAATATTGCACCTTTAAATGAATTAATTAGCAGCCCAATGGGATACGTGTTTAGTTTTCCAGCTGTTGCAAGTACATTTACTATCTTTAACGATGTGTAATGGATACGCTCCAGATGCAAACAGGGTTAAATAATGGTTGCTGTTATTTAATAGTCTTTTTGTTTGTTGGTAAAAATCATAGAAGTTTAAAATTAACAAAGCTCAGTGTCATAAAGAACGACGAGTCTGATCTAATGATCATTTTTTAAATGACAGGCTGATTTCAGGATTGGAGAGCATGAAACTCCATTTACTAGCCACTTTAGATACTTTGTGTTTGATCACGTGTGCCATGTTCAGCGCAGTTAAAGAAAGCAAACAGAGAAAGAGGTTTGTGTGCACTGCACAGTTCAGTTCTTCTGATGCGCTGTGTGTTGTGCTGCAGCTTGCAGATGTCTGAGGACGTCTATGAGAAGTTCCTGGCTCCAGAAGAGCCGTGTCCGCTGCTGTCTCGGAGAGGGAACCTCAGTGAAGATGCTACGCTGGACGTCAGTGACTTCGGCTGTCAGCTGTCCTCGTGCCACCGCACAGACCCGCTCCACCACTTCCACAGCAGCAGGTCAGTGAGCCACGCTCTGGCACAGTCCGTCACAAGCAGCAAATGTGCAAAAACCTTTACATTCTCTAATAAAAGACCGTCAGAATGATGCATGATTTGTTGGAATCGGATGAAAATGACTGAGCTACACCTGTTTGGAGTACATTTAGAGAAAAACTGATTTAAGGTTCCAAAGCAAAATCACAGATGCAAAAAAATAAACAAATAATTTTACCTCTAATCTTAAGCATTCAAGTAAGAAAAACAAATAGTAAAAATCACTTAAGTGTGTTCATTACAAATAAATAGATTATTAAAACTACAAAAGCTGTTCAGTCAAGCAGCGAGAGATTCCCTCTTTTCTTTTATCGTTAGATTAACATTAATGAGACAGACGGACTGTATTATAACATAGTGTGATGCACGGATCTAATATAATGTTACACATCTGATGTTTTTCCCCAAACGTTCACTTAAGATATAACAGATTATGTTTGAGTGAATCCTTAAATATGTTTAGCCTGCTGTAAGTCTGTGTGTATCAGGATAGAGTGCGGGAAGCAAGTGGAGAAAAGGTACTCCTCCCAAAAAACGTACTAATAAAGATACTTTTAGATGTTTAATTTCTATTTTGGAGCTCTGAGATCACTAGACGAGGGCTTTCTGGAAATCTCAGATTCGACCCAAATCAACATTTCTCGTTTTTTTTGCCCGTAGCTCAAAATGACCCCGTGCGCATTCACACTCGTTCTGCCAGCAGCGTGCAGTGAGCCGAGTATCTGGAGCCGGCGGGTCAGGCGAGGGCTGTTCTGTTGGTCAGTGATCTGTGTGTGTGTGTGTGTGTGCAGGTGGCACCTGACCTCCTGCGGCACCAGCGTGGCCAGCTCAGACTGCAGCGAGGAGCTCTTCTCCTCCGTGTCTGTGTGTGATCAGGACGACTGCTACTCGCTGCTGGACGAGCAGGAGCTGGCCTCCTTTGAGCTGTTCCCCGAGGGCAGCGTGTGCAGCGACGTGTCCTCCTCCATCAGCACTTACTGGGACTGGTCCGACAGCGAGTTCGAGTGGCAGGTGAGTCGTCTCTGCGCTCGCTGAGCCACAGCTGTGTGATGGACTGCACATTAGGACTGATGATAAATCATGATTAAACTCCCCATGGTTAGTATTACCGTTTCATATTTTAATGATCACTAAAACCGTATTCAAACAACAGAGGATAAATAAATACTGTCCAGCATAAAGCAGGGTTTTACAGGTGCACACAGCAGCAGAGTAGTTTGGATTTGTGTGAAAACGGTGGAAAAGCTGTGAGGGTTTAAAGAGTGCTGAGGGAATTATACAAATGAATATATGAATTAATTAATTATATGAATGCACCTCTGAAGATTCAATGGCATTTTGTTTTCATCTTCACTTCATGTAACACCTAATAAACTAGTGTTGTTTACGGTAAACCGCTGTACTTCTGCTGCTCCATCAGCGCCCCCTGCTGTCAGAGAGTGGAGCTACAGAGACTCACATTCACATTCAGTCTGTGTGCAGCTTCTGTCTGGACATAAAACAGACCGGATTTACATGCTCTGCTGTCATTTATGACCGGCTGATGAAAAACAAGCTTATGTGGATTCTACACATTTAAACAATTCAGATAAGCTATCCAGAATTATTTATGGAGCAGATAAAATACATCATTTATAAATCAATTATCATTTTGTCTTAACACTTTTCTTTATTAAAAGGCACAATATGTAAGATTTTCGTAATAAAATATCCAAAAACTACTTGGACGGTGTGATATACTTCATGCAGTTGTGTACTTGCGTTATCCCAAAAGTTCCCAAGGATTTGTAAGTTTTAAGTAATGGCTCATCCCTGGTCATTGTTGCCTATCAATGACGTAATGTCCGCATATCCTCAGTTTCCGCTTGTAGAAGCTGTATGGCAACACACGGACTCAAATGCTGCTGTACACTTAAACTAAATCCATTACGGCTGTCGCGAATAAAATGAAAATGAAATTAAAAGTGTTGACCGTAGCATTAAATTTAGATCTGCTCAGTTGCGCCATGTGTTTTTACAGTGTTGTGCTTTATAACCAATCACACACGAGTCTGTTGAGCTTATGAAGGCAATGGCCAATCAGAGGCCTTCAGATGAGTTTTTGTTCAGTGCACACACTCACGAATTCTCTCATCATAAACAACACCGTGCAGATGTGCGTATGATGTTAGAGATCCATTCATCAAACCGTGTATAGACGGCTTTACTGATTATAAGGGGGTTTTTGAAGAGTGCTTAAACTAGACATTGGTAATGTTGTTGTTTTAGTGTTTATGCAATCAGAAAGTCATTTTACTTGTTGTTTGTTGATTTTAAATATAAAACCTGGTGAAACAATTTATGTGTCTGCACTTTTTGAAGATTCCCAGCACACTTTAACAGCACCATGATAATACTGATAATGATTGTGGTCAGTGTAATGTGATAAATCCGGTTGCATCTCTATTGCAGTTACCGGGCAGTGATATAGCCAGCGGCAGCGATGTGCTCTCCGACATCATTCCCAGCGTGCCCAGCTCACCCTGCCTCGCGGCCAAACGGAAAAACAAACCGCACCGGAACCTGGACGAGCTGCCCTGGAGCGCCATGACCAACGACGAGCAGGTCTCAAACCCTCACTCCTGGCAGCGTACGCAGTGACACTAGCACAGCTTGATGTGATACTGAAATATATGATGACACATGTTTAACTGGACACCGTTAGGAAAGAAAGGAAGCCGTGTCACTGCGTTTGCTTGTGTTATTCTGTTTCTTTGCAGTCAAGTGTCTTTTAGTGTCTGTGTGAGCTCACTTTGGTGATTCTCATTTGTCAGGTGGAGTATATTGAGTATTTGAGTCGAAAAGTGAGCACAGAGATGGGACTTCGGGAGCAGCTGGACATCATAAAAATAATCGACCCGAGCGCACAGATTCTGCCGACGGACAGCGAGTTCATCATCGAGCTGAACTGCCTCACCGATGAAAAGCTCAAGCAGGTGATTAATTACACTCAACACCTCCTGCAAAACAAACAGCACTCCTCCATCCACAGCACTGCCAGGGCTGATCATCAGCACTCTGTTTGCAATATGTTACACAACTTTTTATAATCTAAACATATTCTAATCTAAAGGGGTCATCGGATGCTAAATTCACTTTTACATGTTGTTTGAACTGAAACGTGTGTTGGCAGTGTGTGTACACAATCCACCCTATAATGATAAAAATCCACACAGTGCTGTTTTCTTCTTCTTTTTTTTAAATCCCCCAAAATAATAACCCCTTTCTCATATCAAGCCGTTCTCAGATTCTTGATGTGTGTCACAATGAATGCGGCTAAAGTAAACAGTCTCAGAGAACTGCTTCACCCCACGGAAGAGAGGGGCGGGGTCAGCAGAGCTCATTAGCATTTAAAGAGACATGCACCGAAACGGCTCGCTGTGAACAGAGCTGATTTTGACAGGGTAAAAATGGTGTTGTTTTACACTACCATTGAGAAATTGTACCCAAAGTATGTTATAGACTTTTCATTAAGACCCTAAAGAGTCATATCAGCTTGTGTAAAATGGGCATCTGATGACCACAAGGCATAACACTCTGGTTAACAGAAAAGAACTGGGTTCACACACTACGAGTCTTTCAGATCACTCTGAACACAAAACAAACTCCCAAAGAAACATGGAATATCAAACACGTGGAATCAGGGTCTGTGTGCATCGTGTGATTTTCTGTGATACTAGTGTTGACTCGTCCAGACTGAATCTGTGTGAAGGCGGTGTGTTGTCCAGAGATCAGACTGATGTGGTGTCTCCTGCAGGTGCGGAGCTACATCCGCGAGCACGGTCCGCGGCAGCAGCGCAGCGTGAAGAGGAGCCTGGCGAGCAGCGTGAGCGCTCACAGCAGCAGTGACGCCAGCATCACCAGCAGCAGCATCAGCAGCAGCAGCGCCTCCACCGCCTCCAGCATCAGCCGCGCTCACAGCGACGGGAACCTGGCCTCCGCCGCAGAGAGGATACGAGACTCCAAGGTGCTCCTCCGAGACACAGCGCGGTGATCCGTCTCGATCAAACACAGCGCAGCCGCTGACCTTCAGCATGCTGCTTTTCATTCAGTACTGATAGTCACACGTGTGTTCAGATATTTATATTTAAGATATTTGCATATAATCCACAAGAAAAAGACAGGAACTGGATTTACACAACTATCCTGTTTGAATGTTTACACTCCGTTGCTGTGCATCCTGGTGTGTAGCTTCATTAACTGTCACTGAGTGAGTGCTTCACAGGGGACTGCGTTACTGATTCAGATACTGATTCAGATCAAGGCCATACTCTATGTTCCTCAAGACTGGTGCTTAAATCACTGCTGGTTAAGTTCAGGTTTCAGCAACCAGTTATACTCTCTTTCATTGATCATTTTTAAGAACTGCTTACTGTCGTTAAAGAACAAAGCAGACTAATGTTTATCTCTTAAGTTGGCAAGAAAAGTAAATTCACACTTTTTTTGTAAATGCATGATATACGTATATTATTGAGAAGGACTCGTCCATGTCTGTTTAATTTAGTTAGGGTTATGTTATGTGTTTTTTTTAATTTTTTTTTTATATATTAAAAAAAAAAAACTTGTTACGTTTAATCAAAATGCCATAACTCGATCGTCTGGTGAAAATAACAGATGCTACTTCGGTTTCTTCACGAGTTTAATTACATGTGAATGTGCCAGAGACTATATTTACCACACAAAACAAATACAATACAGAGATATAAAACCTTGTTAAAACTTTAAGGCATTTTAGACAGAACAGTATGAGCTTTCTTTCTGTCACTTCCATTCACCACTCTTCTACAGAAAAGATTTAATTCTCCACCACAATGAGAAGAAGTCATCCGTAAGATTATGAAACGCAGTCAAGAGAAGCCTCCTGAGGTGAGAGAGACCGACAGCACAGGGATATGCAGTGACTAGCTCTGTCCAGTTCACTTGTGCTTTGACTGAATGTATTTAAAACAATCGTATTCCTTTTACATGTTTCTTTTCTAAAATACTGATGAAGCATTGTTAAAGGGGTCTTATGGTGATGCTAACACTCATGCAGGAACGGCTCGAGTCGATCTCTGTGAGTCTGTCTGATGCAAGTGAATGAGCGGCGGCGTCTTGAGAAGGTTGAGAGAAGACTAGTTTAAGATGGACTGATGGACTGATTGTTGTGCGTGGTGTTTTCCAGAAGCGCTCCAAGCAGAGGAAGCTGCAGCAGAAGGCTTTACGCAAGCGTCAGCTGAAGGAGCAGAGACAGGCTCGTAAGGAGAGACTGAGCGGTCTGTTCCTGAACGAGGAGGTGCTGTCTCTCAGAGTCCCGGAGGAGGAGGACCACTGCGACGACCTGGACGTGCTGATGTGACCCCAGTGACCCTTCAGTGTTCCTTCTACGCCTCCTCATCATCACACACACAGCAGGTTAGCTTGCAGCGCTGCAGTCTCAGAGCACTCACCGGTGACCTCTGGCACGGTACAGTGAGCCCAGGAACATTAACATGCATTAGACTAGCGTCGACAGAAACACTAATAGCTGTCTGCTGCAGCGTCACGCTGCACCTCCTCCAGGTGTTTCATACACACGGGGAACTAATGCCAGCGACGCTTCACTACAGCAAAAAACATACAGGCAAACCAAAAACTGTTCAGACACCTTCAACATTTCTCACATTATATCACCGTTTATTCACTATAGTTGAGAAAACGGTAATAAAATATGAGAAGAACTCGGAGTTAAACAGTGTCAGACAAACTCATCTTGATGGTGTCAGATAACTTTGATAGAAAGGTAAGTAACAAAACATGCTCAGGTCAGAGTGTCAAAACAAATTTTACTGGTAGCCCTCTGAAGAATTTTTGTGATTAATATGTCACGGTTCACTTTATTTTGCTATCCTCACTTACATAAATGAACTACAGTGTCCTGCACCCACTAGTAAAGAAATATCACACATTATATCTGCCGTCTGAATAAGTTTTGGTTTAACTGTATGTGTTATTAAACACTCCTCACTAGAAAAAATAAATGATTAAGTACATAACCCTAATTGTATGTGATGGCAAGTTTAAAACATACTTGGTACTAGCGATTCTGTAGAAAGACAAAAAGACGTTCAGCTCTTACCCAGAAGACACCTTTCTATAGCAGCGCAGTTTGTGCTGGACGTCTGCATTAAAGCATCACATCTCAAACATTCTTCAATAGCAGTGAAAGGACAGAGAAGAGCGTTTATTTCATCACTGATCATTTCTTCATAATATGCACATGATTTATTGTGTAATCATTGTTAGCTGAACTCCGGCTTAGAGGGAACACTGACAGCTGAAGTCGTCGCCTCCGCTGTGTCTCTGCATTGATTAGAAATGGCATGAAATTATGCTTTGGAACTTTTTGACATTAAAATTTCATATGAAAATCTAATAGTACACAATACCTTTAAACATGTTCATTGACTAGAAAATATCACTTGTGCTCTCCTAGGCAAATCAGAGAAAGTAATATTTCATAACTTTTATTGTGATTATATTTATATAATCTGTGTTATAGAGTGGAAGTGAGGGGAATCGGTTTTAGTGTAAAATGACACGCATTCATGTTTTGTTTCGATCAGAATTTGTTTGCTTGCAACACTTTTTTTTTGTTAACCTTGCATACGTGTTATTTAAGCTTTCTTTATAAATGTAAGCTTTGCTTTATTGCAGATGTACTATTTGAACAATGATTTTCCCAAAAATGTTCAGTTGCAAAATGTCTAAATAACATACTTCTATTGGTTACACCATTTACAATTACATGGATATTTTGAGTCAGACATACATGTAAGTTAGTATGACTTAACTGCTTTACTGAAATGTCTGAATATTCTTCATTTTAACTGAATAAAATCAAAGTATGACGTGGATGAGTTGTGAAATATATTGAACATCAAACTGCTTTTGTGTCAATTATATACTGTCTTGACATGAAATATGTTTAAGCATTTAAATCCATGATTACTTCAGTTTCTATTGGTAGTTCATGTAAAGCTAATGCTTTGTTTCGATAGCTACAGTTAGTGTAGTCCTGACACATTCACGTGAGTAATTGTGCATTTTTAATGTTTCTAAATATTTATTTAGAATCTTATTGAATGAGTATTTTTTTCGTTAAAGTCAACATGAAATTAAGAATTTATGTGCATTTCTGGTCTTACTGTGCACAGTTCATCAGTACACCTTATTCTGAATAAATAAATTGTCTGATGAAAGTTTATAGAATATATATATATATATATATATTTTTTTTTTTCAAAACCTGTTCTTCATTTTTGGCTGCGATCACTAGTTTGTGCGTGCTATTGGTTAATGTTAACAGACTCAATCAAGCATTTGGGGATTTGTTTCTACTGTTGCATGTAATTTGGCCTTTTTGAATTCTTTACCAATGCACAGTAATTAAATGCTGAACAATGCTATTGTTATGGTTGTTAAGGTTATGCCAATGATAAGAGGAAACGATAGATTTGAAAAATGACCGTCAACATTAGGATTAGGAGCATGTCCCTGAATGTGGAGAAATTGGTGGTGCTTATAAAGGGTATAAAGAGGACATGTCTGGTCATCTTTCCTAGAGGATTCACTACTGGAGAGCAGAGAGTAGAGGACAAGCAGCAGTACCTGGCTCTGGATTTTATAACACACACAGAGAAACTAGAGATGTTGACAGAACTAACAAATACTTGAGACTATTAACCCACGAGCTAGTCCTAGGGAACGCACATCGGAGCACTCTGGGAAGAATGGACATGATGCAGTCAGAAGTCTGGAAATGGACGAGGCTGGTCAAGAAATGCTCAGGTTTCCTTCATGGCCAGATCCAGGACTGCCTGGGCATCTCTAACCCATCCAGCAGAAGCTGAGGTTCAGATAGCTCCTGGCAAAGTAGATCAGCCCAGGACAATTTATCTAGAAGGGCTTGCCAAGCACAAGACAGCTTAGCCACTAGCATATATATATATGTGTGTGTAAGCAATAAGGTACAGGTGCTGTATCGTGAATAAATCGCGGCTGAAGGGTGTTGTTAGGCACGACGCAAACCTGACACCTCATACTTCTGGAGACTCCAGGAAGGTTGCAGTTCTGGAAAATAGTGGCACTGGAGACTAAATGCTTCCTCATGGTTTCACACCTAATTCTTCACATGAATTCTTAATTCTTTTGCAGTTAACGTTTGTCTTTTCTTCTCCACCTGTTTTTTTTTCCACCTGTGAGCATTTTGCTGACCAATGGTCATGTCTTAACTTTGCAATTTCTGTATTGCATTAGTTTTTAATATTTCTCATGGGGATTTAATCATTTTTTACTTTTCAGTCTGAGTTAAATCTCTTTTTTTGGCTCATTTTATTCTGCACACCTGAATATGAGTTTTTCACTTTCCAGCCTTCATGGACAATTATATATCACTCATAAATTATTAAATAAATTATTAAATACAAAATTAATAGTAGTTATTAAGATCGATGTGGTTTGGAATTAGTAAAATGTGCTTGGAAAAAAAATATCATCAGAATATAAACGTGCCTAATAATTATGCATGTGGTGTATACACACACACACACACATACACACATACACACACACACATACACTATATGGACAGAAGTATTGGGGCACCCCCTTCACATGAACAGGTTTGGCTACTTTAGTCATTTCTGGGAGCACTAATCTTCTCTAGATTAGCTGTAGCATGTACAGAGATTCTGGAGAATTGCATTGCGGGTGTCCCAATAATTAAAATATGACAGATCAGATCGGAAGAAGGATCTAAGTGCAGATTGTGTGTTTAAGCCCTAATGTGCAAGACATAATCCGTCCGATGAAATTGTGATAAACTGTTAATACACATTAACCTTGAACCGTGAAACAAAACACAGCATGCAAATTTTATACCATAACCAACAAAAGACGATGGGAAGCACTAGGTTATACAAGGACTAAGGGCAAATTCATCCCTATGCCCTACTCACTTAGAAGGGTCCTTGATGTGTGAACTCTGGAGGTTTAAATACACTTGGCAAATAGAGCAATGAAAAACAACATCTTTTTCTCATAATCTGTCATTTATTTTCATGTGACCTTCAAGGGTGCAAAAACATTGTTTGGAACCAGTCTGAACCAGCCTAAACCAGTCAGGGTGGGACACATCAAGCAAGAACATGACACAAGGAATCACACGACAATAAACAAGACTAATACATTTCATAATTAAAGATATGGCACTAATACAAACATACACAACAGTAACTGTATTTAGATTTATTACAATTATGATATGTTTGTTGCTACCATTGTGAGACTGAACATTTGATCAGGTACATAATTATCCAAACAATCCAGATTAAATAAGACTTCAGTTCACATCCAGAATTAAATATAAACTGTGCCCCACTCTGACATACAGCACACAGACTCACTCATATGACTGTATGTATGATAATGTTTATTGTCTTTTTTCTAGGCATCATTCACCCCACAATGACTAGCCATGGTAGGAAATATTTTCTATTGTTGATGTTTTACTGACCGATTCTGTAAAATAAAAAATATATCTTGTTATAAATTCTCTGATAGGTACTAAAAGAAAGCGTAGTGATGAACCATCCGGCTCAAGTGCAAAGCGCCCTGACAACAGTTCACAGGAACTTAGAACAGGCAAGTATTTATTTTTTCTCTAAAATAGCACCACTGTTATTTAATTGTATATTAAAAAGTATAAAATGCAAAAACAACAACAAAGGTAATTATTTTACAACTTCTGTTATTGGAAAAATACCGAGGTCCGAACCTCGGGGACCTCAATGGTGGGTACGGCCCTGCTCATGGGCATCGCACAATACTGCTTTACAACTCAATGTAAGACCATGGTCATTTCTATGGGTGCTAAAAAAAAACTTTGATCTCTTGGAGTGGAAATATTTGTTTGAAGTTCTGCGACATGTGGGTTTAGGGGATAACTTTGTGAGATGGATAGAAATAATATCTAGAAATAATATACAGGGCACCACAAGCAGCAGTCCTCACAAATGGTTTACACTCTCCTGCATTTGATCTGAAGCGAGGCACCAGACAGGGTTACTCTTTATCGCTGTTGCTATTTGCATTGGCCCTTGAACATTTGGCAGTATCTATTGGACAGAGTACTATATACTATCACTATACCAATACTATACTATACTACACTATACTAATCACTAATACTCATACCATCTCACTGTATGCCAATGACCTGCTCTTATTTCTCTCTGAGCCAGAACTGTTGGTGCCAGCCTTGATTGATCTGATAGATAGCTTTAGTTTTTTTTTTTTTTTTGGGCTACAAGATTAATTTTAATAAATCAGAGGCAACTCCATTGGGTAAGTGGGGAGACTCTGCCCCATCTTTAATGTTCCCCTTCAAGTGGTCACCTAAGGGATATGGCTATTTAGGTGTTAATTTTTCTCACAATCTGAAAAAGTTATTCAATCTTTAATTTTGTCCCAGTCCTGAAAACAGTGAAAAATGATCTACAGAATGATGGATGGACCTCCCAATTTCTTGGATAGGCAGAATAAACTTGATAAAAATGGAATGTACTTCCTAGATTACTGTACCCTTTACAGATGATTCCACTGTATATCGCCACAAATATATGGTTAACATGATTAGCAAGTTAATAGCATGTTGTTAGCATGATTAGCACGTTACTAACATGTTGTTAGCATGATTAGCAAGTTACTAACATTTTGTTAGCATTTTTCTAGCATGATTAGCAAGTTACTAGCATGTTGTTAGCATGATTAGCAAGTTAATCTCATGTTGCTAGCATGATTAGCATGTTACTAGCATGATGCTAGCATGTTTAGCAAATTGCTAGCATGTTTCTAGCATGATTAACAAGTTACTAGCATTT